TATATATATATATATCAAAATAAAACTGATCGAATTTCTTAATTTGAATAGGCTATAGAGATTTGAATCAAAATTTATATATATTAATTATTGTTATCAAGTAATTTAAACCAAAATTATTATATACTTACAGATTTTTTTATGAGTAAAAATTACAAAAAGCAATCGAGAAAATATATACTTAAAGTTTGACTATTCGAATGAGGAGAGTTATATTGATGATAATTCGCAATTGCAACAAAGATATTACGAAAGATGAATTGACACGAAAATTAAGTGGTCAGGTTTTATTTGTCTGTCTATTCAAATCATCATTGATGTTTTTTGAGTAATAGCAACTTACGTACGTAATTGGTTTAATGTGTTTTGTTCACAATTGGTACTAAAACTTCTTCGCAAGGGATTAAAAAATTGTGTTTAGGCATAAACGATATATATTCACAGTTCACACCATCATGTAAACTAGCCAAAAGCCAATAATGGGCAACGAGAGATGCGAGCAAGCCATACCATACATTGCCGACAAGTTTCACCATTAAACACCAACAACAAAAAAGAGAACAAATAATCAATATCTATCATACATGAACAGAATCAAGAACAAAATACAAACGTGGACACATTCATTATGGCATTATCAATTTAACATATATTGATCATGCATGCGTTCCATATATATATATATACCACGGTCAAGTACACATAACTTGAAACAATATAGCACGTTTTAGCATAAAGATTAAATCAAGACTTAATTAACAAAAACACCTTCATTGATCTGGCCACAAGAATGCTCCCGTTGCAAAAGCTCTCTTCTCATCAAGGGTACCCTCCAAACTTAATCCATATTGCTTAAGAAGCAAGTCCACCTTCCACTCCTCCATGCTCTCATAGTCTTGTTTGGTATAACGTGGATAGTGAAGTGGCATTTGAAATTGAAGCCCTGAACAAGGGTCATCAACCTCATTCAAATTACTTGAAGGGCACAACCCTTTCACGCTTTTGACATCTCCATTAATAGGGTAGCCTTCAATCTTCTTGCACTTATCCACTTGTGTGTTGTTCATGGGGTACCCCAAAACATGGCAAGTTGAATGAAGAAGCCATTTGAGAACCATTTTTCAGCCTCTAATTTCTCTGTTCCTATGAGAAAGAGAATTATAAGAGGTGGGAATTAACTTGCAAGTGTTTTGCTTAAAGCAATTAATATTGCATGGACATAATCGGAATATATAGGAGAAGATGCACGTTATGAACCCATGTAATTAAGACAAAAGATTGCGCATTACACGCGTTAATTAAGCAAATTAAGAATCCCTTACGATATGTCTATGAATTTAGTAATGTTATATTTAATGGGATATTTTGAAATTTTGGCTGTTTCTTGCGCTGTAAGTTATCACTCATCATACATGAATATGCGTACGTGCTTGTTTGGAGTGCGTTCATAGGTCTCGCCTTAACGTGGAAGAATTATTAAGTGGTGGTTGGTCTATTTTCAATGGCTATCATTATGTGTGCTGCTTGTTAAAGAATTAAGAAATAATTAATAATATAGTATTTATGCATGATTGATTTATGGATGCTGCTTGTTAAATATTAAGAAATAATAATATAGTGGTATGTGTTTTTAATTAATGCTATTAGTGTAAATATTCACCAATTTTACTAATTACTATTTTTTTTAGAGAACCTTGTTGGTATAGTCATCAATCACTTTTTTATCTACAAAATTTGAATATAATTTTTTTTGCTAAAAAAAACTTAATTTCAATTAGATCAACAACTTATTAATATAATATAATAATTTGCATATTAAGAATTCAAATTTTTAATTTTTAAATTTTTTTAATATATTTGCTCATGTTTTCATAATAATAACTAAAGTTTCTATAATAATAATAATAATAATAATAATAATAATAATAATAATAATAATGTTGCTTATGTGAACATTGAGTAATAAAAAATAACATGACACGCGTGACCCGTGACGTCATATATATAATGCAAAATAGCTTCCAAATTACGTTATGATTTTTTTTATATATACGGTCATCTGTTCTATTTTTTAAATAAATAAAAAAAATTCGCGAAGCACGCATTTAGTATAGAATGCTGCTATATTTTTAAAATTAACTTAAACAAATATTTTAAGAACTTAATTAAATGAAGGGAGTTGTTGAGCTGAGTTCGCATGGATTGATCACTTTTATAATTAATTTTTTAAAAGCAATTTTGTGTAGGTTTAAGGTTTAAAATTTAGAGATTGAAACTTTTAGTAATATTAAGAATGGTAAAATGGATACCAAACTATGGTTCAGCTTGTCAAAAATTGACGGTCTGACTAAGCATTCTAGCCTGTATAATCCATCTCGCCTAACTTGCATAAATTTTTTTTTTAATGTTAAATTTAAATAAGTCAAATAAGATTTATTATGTGAATAATATGTAACTTATTGTGTAAACATGTAATAAATATGTTATAAATTTAACTTATTTTATTATATGTAGTTTAAGTTTTTTTTATAGCAAATTTGTTGGAAAAATTGTGATTATTATTAAAATTTGAGATTTTTTTTATTACTTAGGTATACTAATTTATGTAATTTTTTTTAATTATTAAGAAAGAAATGTATTGAAAGAAATATCCAAAATAAATATGTAAACTTTTTTTTTGACAAACTGTCCCACCAACCCACCATTAGGTAGGATGGGCTAGAGCAACCAACCCATTTCACTTGACAGGTTAATCCAACATGTTTTTTTTTTGTAAATAGTGGAGCGAGTCTAAATGAATTGAGCTGACTCATTTTGTCATTCTTAGTTAATATGTATTTATGATGTCATGAAATAGTATTAATCTTTTTTTTTTCACACAAGTGTTCTAAAACTTCATCTTAAACTAATTTGTTTCAATTGGGAGATAAGTAAAGTTTGGTCAAATAGTATTAATCTAATGTAATTGTCCAATTATGAGAATATGACAAGTATTTTGTCAAATTTTATGAGTTGTAAACAAATACCACGAAAACTAAATTATAAAAATATAAAAATAATAATAATAATAATAATAATAAAGAAAGAAAGAACCTAATTCTAATTTTTTTTTTTAGTTTAGAGATGTAATTATAAATTTTCGAAAAATTTGAGGATGATGTCATCTATTAAACCTTTTAAATACATATAAAAAATAAAAGAAGAAAAAGAAAAAAAAAATAGTTTTAAGTCAATTTTTACCTATAAAAAAAATACTTGTTAGAAAATATAAATTTCTTAAATGAATTTGATTACTTCGAGTTATTAGTCCTTAACTATCTATTAAACGATACCTTGGTTTACACGAAGAAAAAAAAATCAACTTATGCCTAAAATGAATCGATGAGATGAGATGAATACGCAATATCAATGGATTCTTTTTAACACTTAATCTAATCATGGGCTGCTCTTTCTATACTTCACTGGGCTTCAAATATAAATGGAAGGTTCATGATATATATACCTCCTTTTTTTTATAAGTACACCTTCTTTTAAAAAAAATAATTAAAATTTTAAAATATTTTTAATTTTTTGTTTTAACTTTTTAAATTTTACATCCACAATATTTAATTTAGTACTTTTTTCATATATCTTTCCTCTTTTTTTCAATTTTTATATGCACCCCTTTATTTTTCCATCCCACCTATTTTGATAGCATGTGAAAACTGAAAGAGAAAAAAAATATGTGTGAATAAGAAGAAAAAAAAGTAACAAATTGAAAGTTGAAAGTGTAATAAAATTTTTTAAAAAAATTATAATATTTTATAAAAAAAATTAAAAGAAGGAGGTGTACTTATAAAAAAAAGAAGGAAGTGTATATATCATGATCCGGAAATTTAGTATCTCTGTCCATTGGGCTTATAAGGGCCCATGTAGACTGTAGTTATAGGGCCAGTCAAAATAAAACACGAGCAATATATAAAAACTACTTTGAAAACGTTGCTTTCACTTATAATGATCTTTTAGTGTATAAATACAACTTTTTTTAAGTGAATTTATACACAAAGTATATGAACAAGGACATGATTTAACTTCAAAAATAAATCCATAAACACCATAAGAATATTTATTAAAAATAAAAAAAAAACAAAAATATTGCATTTAATTTATTAAAAATTAATAAATTTTATTACTTCCATTTTTTTACTTGATAATTACTTTGAAAATATTGTAACTCTCATCTTACTAATAAATTTATTACTTTCATTTTTTTAATGTAACTTTCATTACTAATTTTAATCTTAACATGATATTCCTTTCAAAATATTGTAATTTTTATTAATAAGTTGATATAAGAATGAAAAGAATAAATATAGTTTATATAATCATACATAGAGATAGTAAATTTTCATGTAACTTAAAAAAAAAACAAAACAATATAGATTGTGTATTTTACTGTTAATCATTCGAGATAAAATTTAAGGACTAATATTTATTCTCCACTTTTTTTTTAAACATGTATATAAATTTAAATGAAAAAGATACATTTTAAAATATAAGGTGTAATCGAAATTAACTTAAAATCGTACCTGAGATTCTAATAACTTCGTAACTAGTCATACATATGCATATATTCTACTCCCTCCGTTTTTTTTTATATAAGAAATGAATAAGTAATTATTAAAATTAATAAAAATAGTTAAAATATTTCATTTTTATTAATAATATCATAAAATTTAATTTATTCAAAAATACATTTTGAATTGAATAGTTTAAATAATATTTATGTTTAATGACATTATATTTAACTTAATACATGACTTTTGCTGCTAATAAATGTAACTTATATAATTAATAGATCAATAAATATATTTATTTACATAAAGTATGAAAAGATATTAATAATTAGTATATCTTAAAATTAACAATTAATATATCTTGAAATGAGTCTTTGTTTCTTATAATTAAAAAAAAAGTACCGAGTTTATAGTATTACATGTGATCGTAAACAAATTATGAAAATATTTAAGTTAGTTTTACACTTTAAACTTTTTCTTAATTAGATTAGTAATCTATGTGATGCACAAATTTATTTTTAATCAACTCAAAATATTATTAACTTATTTTATTTTTTAATTATAAAAGAAAAAAATTATTCGTGTTTTCTCCGCTGACCGCAAAGCTTAACATAATATTATATGAAAAAAAATATTACATCATAATCATATTTAGAAATGTGTAAATTATAACATATAATTATAATATATATATATATATATATATATATATATATCTTTTTTTTTTGTAAATAAAGGGGCTAAAAGCCCAAAAGACTAGAATTAATCAAGGAAAGCAGCAGATGACTCTGTCTGCAATAAGGAATGGATACATCTAGGGGCAGAATTAAAAAGGACAATGTCCTCTTGTGAGGAAAGGCTATTTCTAGCTAAGGCATCAGCAACTTTGTTGGCTTCTCTAAAGATGTGGTTATATGAGACAACCTGCAACTGATTACTCAAATCTTGAATTTCTTTAACGAGATTGAAACTTGGATGAGAGGGATCACAACCGTGAGATATGAGATTAATTGATGTCAATGAATCTGTCTCAACTAGAATTCTGCCAAGCAAGTTGTTATTCCGAATGATTCGAAGTCCATGAAGAATAGCCCATATTTCAGCATTGGTGATAGAACAACTTCCAAGTTTGCATGCATAGGCTATATATATATATATATAATTTTACACTTCAAATTAAGGGCATAATTATTATATCAATTGTTCAAAAATAAACATAAAACAAAATTAGAAGATTGAAATTTAATTAAGAGCCCTTCAAATCACTCAAGTAGACATAACTTTAGCCTCAATCTTTAGAGAATTTGAGTTCACAAATGAATTTCAATTTTCTTGTTGTTTTTAAATTGTTTGCCACACAATATTTCTTTCAATTAGTTTTCAAATGAGTTTTTCCTTTTTTTCCTATCTCTTCTTATTTCACATCCACATCTTTTACTTTCGTTATTAATTATATCAAATATTGTTCATATATTTATTGATATGAATTTTTCTTAAATATATAAATTAATTTTTAAAATTAACAATAAATTATGATAATTATCTTAAAATTGGTAGTTTAAAACAAAAAGTTCAATATATAACTAATTCAAACAAATAAATAATTATAGAAGTTCTTTCAAAATTACTTCTTTTCAAAACTACCTCTTACAGGAAAAAAAAATGTCTCTTTACTTTTTTTTCATTACAAAATGTGTTCAAA